AGAACTTTTAGTTGTTGTACAAGGGGTGCAATTTGCAAACCAGCTGGGGGTACAACACCTAATAATCGAGGGGGATTCCAAAGTGGTGGTGGGTTGGTTGAAAAATTCTGAAGAGGCTATGTGGCGATACAAGAATGAAATGAAGAAATTTAGTTGGCTGACAAGGAATATGTTGGTCACTGTACAGTGGGTGGGGAGATTATCAAATACTTTGTCAGATGTGTTAGCTAAGCAAGGGGTAAATAGGGAAGAATAATTTTGGGCTCAGTTGTGATTCTTGTTTTTCTTTCCTAGTTTACTTGTAAGATTCAAGGAGGGGCTGCAGCTCGTGCCTCTCGTTGGGATGATGTATGAACTCACTCTAAAGTTGCTTCTAAATCAATAAACTTAATATTATTCATCAAAAAAAATATCCACCTACAACCAAACAAAACAAAAACCAACTAAAATCTACAACAAAGTAACAAGATATCAAATAAATGGTAATAATCCTTGCAAGGTGCCAACTAGCTAGTTAGTAAGGTTTCCTACTGATTGTAGCAGAGACTTGAGATCAAATCCTGCTTGCACCTGGATTGGGGGGTTATGGGTTGGGGGATGGGCTACCCCCGGTTGTGTAGCCCTTCAAAAAGAAATAAAAAATGGTAATAGTCCTTATTCTATGCTTTGCAAAGAGTAGACCAATTTGGGGATAAACACAAAAAAGTCTCTTCTGTTACAGGTTGTCCAAAGTATTAATCTTACCATAGTAAACTTCCCAACAAAATACATCTATTTTAGGGGGAATGAGCCTAGACCAAACTTCTTTGATTGGGAACACCCAAGGAACAAAATTATGAAGCAAAGGGCTTTGAAGAAAAGAAGCGCAAGTAAAGGAACCTTTTAGGGTCAAGGTTCAAATCCTTTTGTTAGGTTTGAGAGGATCCAGAGAAATAGAGTCAAGTGAAAGTAAAAGCTCAAAAACACAAGTAGACTCATCATTCCTCAACCATCTACAGAAACCAAAATCCTAGTTTAAAGACAAAAGAGTAATAGAGGAGAAAAGAAAATTAGAAATGGGCTCCTTTTTTTATAAAGGAAAATAGATAAAAGAGAGGGAAATAGGTCTTTGAGAGGTTGATTGGCCACTCAAGTGTCTTCCCAAAAGAGAACATCATTATTTACCTTACAAACTTGAGAAATTTGGGCTTTGGGGAGATACCATGTATTGCTTCCAAGGTATTGCAAGTGTATCCCATTGAGATACCCCAACACCCCAATTGTTTTCACAATATCCATGAATACTAGCCACCACCTCATGCCACAACCTCTCCCTCTCTAAAGGCCATCTCCACAACCATTTCCCTAGAAGAGCTTCATTCTTATGAGCAATATTCCCTATCCCCAAACCCCTTTCTTCCTTACTTCAACTAACCACCTTCCACCTAATCAAATGATCCTTCTTCCTTTGCCCCGACTCCCACAAAAAGTCCCTCATCAGCTTTTCTATCTTCTTAGCTTCCCTAGAAGGAATCCTAATGACCGACAAAAAGTAAATTGGCACATTGGCAAGTGTGGCCCTGATCAAATTCACTCTGCCCTCAAAGGAAATATAGTTCTTTTTCCAAGCCACCAACCTTTTTTTCAAACTCTTCCACAACTAGATTCCAAAACTGACTCTCCTTTGGATTCATCAAAAAAAAAAAAAAAAAATAGACGCGATAGGTCAAGGTCCAAGACGAGATGGAACACTCTAAGCACAACGCAATAAACTCCAATTCTTGATCAACCAAGTAAATTCCAACCTCACAACTCTTCTCGAAATTAATGTTCAGATTTGAGGCACTTCCAAATAATTTATTACATTCTTAAGATTCCTCACCTTCCTCAAATCACAGCCTTCACAAATTGTTATAATTTCATCTACAAACTAAAGGTGGGTCACCAGAACACTCTTTCTTCCTATTCTCCAACAATTTATTGACATCCCTATCCACGTTTGATATAATTCTACTAAGCACATCAACAACAAGTGTAAATAGAAAGGGGGAAAGTGGATCACCTTGTCTTAGGCTCCTACAAGCTGGGAAGAAGTCCTTAACTGCCCCATTGACTAAGTTTGAGTAATGACAAGAAGTGAGGCAACCATTAATCCATTTGCACCATTATCCCCAAACCCACACTTCCTTAACACCTTTAATAAGAAACTCCAATCCACCAAGTCATAGGCCTTCTCAAGATCCAATTTGTGGACAAAACCTTGATTACCCAATCTCCTCATCTCCACCACATTCATTTGCTATAAAAATCTTATCTATAATCAACATTTTTTTGATAAATGTCCTATCTATAATCAACATTATGAATTTTTAAATTCTACAATGCCTCTAAAAAATCCAACTATTGTTTCTGAATATATCCACCTGCTCACTTGCATTTGCAATTTTACTGCATTTGTTTAGAAACCTTTCTTCATGCATTTTGAATTTATAGATATTTGGCGTCATGGAGAATATTATAGCATTCTCTCATGACCTAGGAAGAATATGGAGGGTTACTAATTACTTATGCCTCTCCCTCCCAATGAATTTAACCCATAAAGTTAGTTCCATCAATTTCATTGTGTAAAAGAAATCATGTTTCATAAATGTATTAGAAAAATGAAGCTAAATTTTTGGGCCACCAGGCCCACAGGTTGAGACACGAGTTTAGTGTTTCTTTTCAACTTTAGTGCTTTCTAGGTGATCTAGTATTGTAAGATGTAGCTTTACATTGTACCAAATTTGAATTTTATTTGGAGGTGGGGTTTTCATCAGCTTTTTTCTCTACTAATAAACCCCTTTGATAATTGTTAATGATCAAAAAGTAAATAAAATTTCAAATAACTCCCTCTAATGTTTTCCTGAGATTTTCTCCAGCTGCATATATAAGCGTTAAAGAAAATATATAATGCCTACATTGGAGTAGTAGAATTTGATCATGGTTCCCTTCCCCTCGCCTCCTTCGCCCCCTCTCCCCACCCAACCCCGACTCCTAAAAGGAAAGGAGGAAAAAATCCACCAGCACAAAAATTAAAAACAACAAAATAACAGTAACAAGAAAGAAAACCAAAGCCAGACCTTTACAACATTAAAAGAAAGTTTACTCAAACCCTAAGTTTTACACAAAAAAAAAAAGTTGAGGGAAAATGGTAAGACGACAATCTGCGTTAGAAACACATGTTATTTTAAAATCATTACATAGTTATATTCACTCTTAGAGTTATCGAATATTGTCAACTTAATCCTTTAGACATCTATAATATGAAAAAAAAAAACCCTAGATTAGATCATTAGATCCCATATCCCAGTGATGCAAACCAAACTGTAATCTCTATCCGCCATTAATAACAAACGCTATTGAACGAACGGATAACAGAATCAGCAAGTAGAGAGCAATAATACAGGGCGAGAAGAAGAGAGAGGAAGAGAGGGAGAGGGAGATTGCGGCGTACTTGCGAAGAGCGGGAGCCATCTTATTGGTCAAGGTCCCAGCTACGATCATGCAATCCGACTGCCTCGGACTAGGTCTGAAGATTATACCAAAGCGATCCAAGTCGTAACGGGCCGCACCGGTGTGCATCATCTCGACGGCGCAGCAAGCAAGACCGAAGGTCATGGGCCAGATGGATCCACGGCGTGCCCAATTCATCAGATCGTCCACCTTCGAAATCACGTACTCCGCGGCCTTGGACAGACCGGCCGGCGAAGGTGGTGGGGGGCGGGCATAAGGTGCGGGTGACGTGGACGAGGTTGCCGGCGTCGACGACAACGCCGGAAGCGTTGTGTGGATCGACGCGGCCCTTTGGGATGAAATTAGGGCAAGACGCGCTGCTTTTGGAAGAAAGGCCATGGGATCGTTCGTCTGCAGAGGAGAAAAATTGAAGAAGAGTGTCGCCTTATTCTGGTCTCGTAGGTTGCAGTTCACAGGTGAAGCTCTGAAAAGTGAACGTGTAGAGTGAACCTCTGAACGAACGCCCTGAAAATCTCTCTCTTTCGATTTCCTTTCACTTGGTTATATAACTGCCACGAATATGGGAGGAAGACACGCGCTCCCCACCCTTCAAATATTTCGAAGATCCGGAATATCAGAACCGTCCATTTAGCTGACTACATCCCAACTAAGAAAGTTCCATTAATAGCAAATCGAAGAATCTCAAATCTCAATCGTTTGTATCATTAGACAGTTCCGTGAGGCGTGAACGGGTAGGTAGGGTAAGGAGGTGACGGGATCTGCTCCTCACATCCACATCCACCATGCATGGGGAACATCTCCCGTGAATATTACGGAAGATGTTTCCAATGCATGGTAGGATGTGTCTGTGAGGCGCTAGTGAAGCGTCAGATGTCAGGAGCAAATCTGGTCTCGGTAGGGGGGAAGGGATGCTGTACGGGCTTTAGCCTGCAGATTCCACCTGCACGGCAGAGTCCCGTATGTGATGGCCTGATGCACGCCTCACAGGCACATCCACAGTGCATTGGAAATATTTCTCGTGAATATTCATTAATAAGTGCCGGAGATATTCCTAATTTAAGGTAGGATATGCATGTGAGACGCCAGGTGTGAGGAGCATATCCAGTCTCAGCTTTTCGTATTCTCAACTCTGCTGCTCTCAAGAATTTTTTTTGAATTTTCAAATAAAAAAAACATTTTCTGAAATTTTTAATCTGATCGGTGCAGTGCAAATAGTGCTTTAATACTTTGAGCCCGTTTTGGGAGGGCTTCAGCATCAGCCATCAGCATTGAGGGAGCTGCTTCAAAAAAGCAAGTAAAACAAAAGTAAAAATTTATCCTCACTCACAAGTTTTTACTTTTGGGAGGGCTTCAGCATCAGCCATCAGGATTTTCATTTTTTACTTTTTCTTTAATTTTTGGGTAAAATATAAAAACCTTTCCTGAAGTTTCTGTTAATAATAAAAATCTCTAATATAGTTTAACTTTAGCAAAATCCTCCTATTTTCAAAAAATAAAAAATTAACAAAAACATCCCTTCCGTCAATGACCCATACCCAAAACGTTAAACTGATGATAATTTTTTTCAAAATACCTATTTTACCTCTATATAAGTTATTGTATAACCGCTTTGGGGAGACCACAATAAAGAATCATAATCAAGTCCTTGCTCTCCCTCCAGATTCAAAGCATAATTCTCCCGCCAGCTATAGAAATAAAAATAGAACGCTTTTGGGTTTTTGCTCTGGCTGCAAAACTCGTTTTTTGGTGGGATCCCTAAGACAATCTCCAGCGCCTCTAATCTTTCGGTCCTACTTATTTCAAATAACCAATTTACAGGGAGCATCCCGGAAGAAGTTGAATCGTTGAATAATCTCGTTGAGTTTTATGCTGGTGATAACCAGCTGAACAACCCGCTACCTGCAAGACTGGTGCATCTTACTGAACTCACCACACTTGATCTTCACAATAACCAGCTCCCAAGTAGCTTCCATTAGGAATCCGGCCAATGAAGAAGCTCAATCGACTGAACGTCTGAACCTCTCCAATAATAGACTAGCCGGTGAAATTTCAGAGGAACTTGGGACATCACCGGTACTCAATTACCTTGATCTCTCGAGCAATATTTTCTCTGTGAAATCCCACTTGAATTGTAGAACTTGAAGCTTAATCGTTTCAACCTTTCAAACAGGGGTAGCTTCTTGGGCAATCTTGGTTTATGCAAAGATTTGGCATGTCTGTATCCAACCAAAACTGAAGTGAAAAGCCAGGGCTTTGTTTGGCTGCTAAGGTCAATCTTTATACTTACTGCTCTGGTCCACCTGGGTAAGCCCAGTAAAGAAGAGCCACTGTTAAACAAGCTAAACCCCAGAGGAGTAAAGGGGAGAGGAGATAAGTGGAGGAGAAAGCACTGCATCTTGCAGCCAGAGCAAAAACCCATAAGTGTTATATTTTTGTTTCTGTAGCTGAACGGGTGAATTTTGCTTTAGATCTAGAGGGAGAGGAAGGACCTACAGATTTCTCGTGCGATACTCCATGAATGCTTTAATGGCGAAGCAGTTGAAGAAGATGAGCAGTGCTCAAGCGGATTATTATGGAGTGTAGTGCCATTCTACCGCTTTACTTGTGAATAAGAAGATGAACAATGTTTGAGTGACAGAGCTATTTTAGTAAAACAGATGCACATTAATTCGTAAAAGGGTAAAATAGGTATTTTGAAAAAAAATCATCAATTTAACGTTTTTTGTCTAGGTCATTGATGGAAGGAAGGCTTTTGTCGATTTTTTTGAAAATAGAAAAGAAGATTTAGCTAAAATTAAACTATAGGGAAGGTTTTTATGATTGTCATAAACTTCAGGGTAGGTTTCTATATTTTACCCTTTATTTTTTTTAGTTTGGAAAAAAGAAAGATATTAAAAATTTAACATGGCAAACCAGCTGTTCAAATGTCTTGCACTTATGATGTGTGATGTCATGCGAACTCTGGCGTGCTCTATTTTGATTGGAAGTGCACCTCAGCATATACAAACATTGAGTGCAGGAAATCCCTACTCTCACAAGACACCCTCTAAATGGGAGCCCAAATCTTGTTCCTCACAAAGAATGCCATACACTGACCTCACAACATGTCCTGGCTGCATATCAGGAACATCTCTCATACTTGTATTTATTATCTAGGGGGAGATACTTTCAATTCAGGGTGGGATGTGTCTCTGAGATCAATGTGAGGCACTCTTTGAGGAGTAGATCCCAGTTCTCCAAATAGGCACTTAATAGAGAGTCTAAATCTCCTGCACATGGCGTCCTACACAGTTTCCTGCACTCCCAATCGTAGGGGGCCATGTCAGCATTGGCATCACATGCATATTTTTCATGTGCGAGTAGACTTAACAGACGTTTTTAACGTCTGTGACTTTATTTCAAAATTACATTAAATTTTAAATGAAATAAAAAATAGGGATAAGAGAAGGGGGTTTCTACGCCTACCAAAAAAAGAAGGGGTTCTAACTTTCTTCAACACTACTTGCTCAAGGCTTTTCTCCACCGAACAACACGCTTGAGCATTGATGGATTATGGATGGAGAATTCCATGCCTGAGCACCGGCTGACCATGGACAGAGAACTGCACACCTGAGACAATAAATACAGGAACTCACTTTGACTTTTCTTTGAATTTCATTAACTAGATTAACAAAAAAAATCTCAGAATAGGGGGGACCTATGATCAGTCATAGATTTATACATTTGATGTACAAAATATACAGATTTAAACAATTAATGCAGATTTCTATGGCACCCAAACAATGCATTTAGTTGAACTCTATCGTTGTTGCATCTTGGTTTGACAAGACAACACATGCCTGGCATCCGTATCCAGAATCCAACCCTAACTCTCATATGCCTCACCTTCTATATGAGAAATTCAAGACAAAAGGCAGCTTTATATTCTAAGATTCTCATTGCTTATTTGTTTAACGAAATCAAGATAAAAGGCCAGACAGAATAAAACTTTATTGTTCGTCTCAAATGTGTTTCTGTTGGTGCTTAGGCATCCTCAATTAAGTGGTAAAAAGCTTTGAGGGAAAAAAAAGGAAGAAAACCTATTTTAAAAAATCTCAGGAATTTCTCTATTTTTATTTCGTCTAAATTAAATTATAATTTTTCATAAATTAAAAATAAGATAAAAATGTTTGTAACATTGGTTAAATTTATTCGCACGGAAATTTACATACAATGCAGTGCTGACATGGCACCCTGCAATTGGGAGTGCAGGAAGTTATGCAGGCCCCAAGTGCAGGAAATCCGGATTCCTTAATAGAATGTTAAGTGTTGCTTGCGATAAAAACACTACCCACATCTATTCACAAGAACAATCCAGATCCCCTGTCCACACCTACACATGATACTATCGCTGTTATAGAGGATGTTCTCAATGTACGGCTATATTGATAGTGTAATGTGGGTATGAGATCCGAGCTCTGACAAGAGACCCTCACAAGACATTGAATTGAACGGCATTCTTGTAGGTGGTGAGCGCAAATGCAATATGTATGCTGACAGCATATGAGTAATAATTACCACTGTAGGATAGACTTGGGAATGAATCTTCCTTCAAGGTTGGGGGTCTAGGGACGCAGTGGGGATCTGCTGCGAACACATACACGTAAAACAGGTTGCGTAACCCATTTGCACCACTCAGGGTATGCTATTATCCCCCACTGTGTATAACTGGTTATGTATCCAATCATGATTCATGAGTACCCCATTTTATCGATCAAAAAACATCAAGACCCGTTTGCTTTTTGGTAAGTTATTAATTTGGGTAAGTACAGTTATTTGGATAATTTTTTTCTAAGAAATACTTGTACGGGTAAGTGCATTTATTCATATTCTTTTTTCATGTAAATAAGGCAATGACCATTTTAGCCATAAAAAATTATAATTAAAAAAGGTATTTTGTCCCATTCAAGTGTTGACAACTTTCCCTCTAGATGAAAAGTTATTTATTCACCTAAGAAATAAGTATCACCCAGGAAAATAAACTTTCCCTACTCCCCACATAAATCTGAAAAAAGAACATGGGATTCTTGATCAATGGAAACCAAAATCTCATTGACCAACTTTCTCCCCTCTCAAAATCCGAAAAAAAAGACGCTCCCCAAATTCCATATGGAAATAGAAGCCAAGCTCAATATCTGGTAAGCTTCTGATACCAACAAGGGCTTGTTTCCCCACTGCAATCCATGTCCAAAACAGGGAAGGTAGAACGTTGTTTTGGGTAAGCAATAAAAGTGATTAAAACAAGTGGTAATGGCGCAAATTCATTTCTCGCTTATCTGCAAGTTTTGCTAAGCAATATGCAAACCACCTCTCTGTAGCAATAGACGGTAGACCCAGGCTTTTGGCAGCCACAAAAAGGAGGCCCAAGGTGAGAGATCACAACTACCAATTGGTCCAATTCTGAATAGGACTGATGAGACCATTAAATGGTGAACTTGTATCACATTCAACGTTTCAAACTATTTGCTGCCAATCGCATCCGGCAACTGTTCAAGACTCGAGATGGCATCCAAGCAGTTAAAAGTTGCAAGTCGTTTGGTCCAAGGAATTGCATGTTTTGTGTACTTAATTATTGTGATTAGGTTGGTAAAAGATAAATTAATCCAATCCACAAAATACACGGCAAGAGCGGTTGAGAAAAAAAAAGGACTCAAACAAACAAGCAGTCTTATTCAAAACACCACCTCATAAATTTACAAATGTTCTAACAATCAGAACAGAGAACCCTCAAGGCCTCGACCCGCCCAAGCGAAGATGAACCAGTACGAGGATATCAACTCCACCTCTGGAGACGATGAATCTGCGGCTATCAGAAACGCAGATTAACAGATTGGTGACTCCCACGTTCCAAACGGAGACGAAGGATAATTAGCATGGAAGTTATAAGTAGAAGACTACAATCATCATGATAAAATTTCAAAGTCCCCAAAATGCAGGTTCAACAATACAAGCCCCAAGCCCCAGGTGACAATGAGATCGGTGTAATGGAACAATTATGTTTCATCAAATTTGATCTCAAACCTAGTGGCAGTATTGAACAGCCTTGTTTTGGTTGTAGGAGAGCTACAATCACATTTTCTTTGATCTAAACCCAACAAAATAAGAACGGAACTGCATCTTCTCTTAGAAAAAGGAAAGAAAATAATCAGAGCCTCAGAGACAAGCAGCCCGCCTGGCAACAAATGACAGTTAACATCCTCGTGGATTCTGCAACAGCCACTTCTGGTCCCCAATATGCGATCGCATTCTACAACTTAAGGGATGTTGAAGATGTGTTGGATGATGCTGCTTGTCTCACTGGCTGGTGGAGAAGATCAACTGACCTTCAACAACAGCAACCCAAAAGAGATTGCCAGAAAACAACGCTCGTCTTCTTAGATCATCTTTACGCATAATACATGTACAGGCTGTTTGCAGCAGCACAGGCAATAGAATTTTCTGTTGGATGCCATGCTAGATGGAGTAGTTTTGTCGTGAAATCAAAAGCATTTCCATTTGTATCAACTCCAGGACTATCTGCACCTATTACAGATTCAAAACATCAACCCAAGTTACTGTCGGTTAAAAGACACATAACGGTCCAACAATGAAGTCCTCCCAGAAAAAGTTACCATGGAACAAGAAAAAAACTAACCTCTCCTGACTACACGTGTAAGACTGCTCAGGGATCTAGAAGGCCGTGAAGGGGTCTGTACTTGTCTCCTGAACAAAATTAAAGAGAAAGATGGATTAGCAAACAGAATGAATTTAAGAAACAATGGTTCTAAAAATTGCAGAAGATCAGCCTTATTGCATTTAGTCTATCCAATGATGCTAATATCAAATCCAAGTACTACTACAAAAGTACAACTTTATCTACAGCTTTGGTTTTTTTCTGATCATTAATACCTCATGGGATTTTTGCTAGCTTCCAAAGTTGATGCCTCGGTGCTACCCGACATAACACCAAATACACGAAATAGATTGCTGGGATCACAGAAACAGTATTAGAATTACTCGTTCATGCGATATCATGGCTTAAAGTTTCAGTAACTTTATTCATTAGAACATTAAAAGGATAGAAATGCATACCTGTATGAGCCAGTTGCAACTCGAAGACCATCTCCACTCAGACAACACTCAAACTTATCAAATATTGAATCATTTTCATATAAATCACATAGCTGACAAAGATCAGAGCAATATGATCGGTAATCAGCAACCAAACATTCAATAATGTTGCATCAGATCCATGCATCTCATTGTCTGGACTTTGAAGTAGAAAAAAAATATATATAAAAAAAAGAAAATATCACCTTAGGCCTTAAATATTCATGAACCTGGAAAGTTGCAACTGGACCGGCATCCATATTTATGTCCCATAGCTGCAGCCAAGTAAAACAGTTTTCAGTGAGAAGAAAGACCAGATCTGGTGAAATCCATTTTTAATGACAAGACAGAGATCACCACAAAGCTTATAGATTCACAAAAGTATGCTTTGATATTTACAAACAATAATATCAATATGTCAGGAACGGTAAGATAAGCAAGGAATATCACCCGTCACTCAAAATAATAGGGAATGTAGAAGCTGGAAGTTTAATAGGCAGTTAGGAAGCACCATTAACTATGAGCAAAAGATTATTTCATTTCACATACACTCTAAATCCTCCTTGAATGTTCATAAAGGCTACCAAAATTAATAGGGCAAACAGGTACAGATCAACCTACGTAACACTTCAAAGGACTGAAAGAAGGAAGAAGCAAAAGCAGAATCAGACATAGGATAAATGCCCAGGTCTTCACATAATTACTCAGGAAAACTTGATGATAAGCTATATCTTCAGATCTTTTTTTGATAAATATAAGCTATATCTTCAGATCCCCTCATGAAACTTTACCCTTAAGATGGTTGGTTCAGCAGAAGCATTGTTTCTGGCAGTTATGCATCAGATACTAATAAAAAATCACATTCAATTTATTACAATATGAAGCACATTGATTAGTCACCCTTGCCTTGTGAATCTTTGGTTATTTTCTCAAGTTAAGATGGGAGGATCAATTCTAGCAGCATGATCCATCACAGATTCCACATACAATTTCAAGGGGTAAGAAACAAATATAGTATGCATTGCTTACACGAAAATTTTACACTGCATCAAGTATCCATGAAAGCAGTCGTTTATAATAACAGATAAACCCTGCAAAAACATTTTTTGAGCATGCCTAATATATCAAAATATAACCAACATTTTACAACTTCATGCATATTTACTGCACAAGTGCAAATTCCCCAAAACCAGAATCAGATTAGTAGAAAATAATGTATCAAGTATCCATGAAAGCAGTCATTTATAAGAACAGATAAACCCTGCAAAAACATATTTTGAGCATGCTTAATAATATCAAATATAACCAACATTTTAAAACTTCATGCATATTATTGCACACATGCAAATTCCCCAAAACCAGAATCCAATTAGTAGAAAATAATGTATATTTATAGACACATATCAACCTTAAGAGTCATGTAATCACGGCTAAGTATGTATCTGCCATTCTTTCCAAATTTAATATCTGAGATTGAGGCAATGATCTCTGTGAAGAAGGATCTTGAACCAGGTGCCTCCTGCTCCTCAAACCTGTATGCAGGAGACCATTAACTATGGGACATAAAAGCAATTTTGTTTCAAGTATATCCAGAGCAGTAAAAATCCTTTTTTTTACCTCCCCACTGTTCCAAAATCTTTAATACTTCTATCTTTTCTTTTCCTGGGAGCAGGCAGGTCTCATTGTTGATAAACGGGGCATATTCCTTGTGAAAATACAAAAGGTACCCCTATTAAAATTTAGTACATAGGGTGCCTGTCATTTTAAAGAAATACCATTTGGCATCACTAGGGATTTGCCCTGTTTATCAAAATGAGATGTGCCCTATCACCACTCAAAATTGAGTTGCTAATCTGCCAAAATGATAATTGTAAGTAAAACTCAAAAACTTACAATTTTGTATGATTATCACATAAAGCGGATTGCCGCAAATCAATAAGACGGATTGAACCCTTTGAGCTACTGTATGCTAACATATTACAATGTGTTGGGTGGAACTCAGCTGATGTTATAACCTCTGCAATTGCAGCAAAAAATTTTAAGTTCAAACTTGTAATATCAAATAAAAACTGTTAAAATTACTTTCGAAGAGTACATCACTTGACTCAACAGTCAACACCAAACATCCCATGGTAAGTAAACAGTTATAACATGAAATCAATAACCCTTGCTATTCTAATCTAAGGACCATTTATAGAAAATGCATAGCATAGAAAAAAGACATCAAACTTAAAACCCAAACACCCAACCAATGCTACTCAGTCCATATAATTAGAATCAGTTCAAATGTTCAACTACTCAAAATATTTAAAGAACCAACCAGTTAGATCCTCCATGTTTGCAGGCTTCACATCAACAATATTGAAACTTTGGTTGCTTATTTCCAAGTTCCAAAGATTTATTCGCAGATCATCAGCAGATATGAAAGTCTCACCATCACTGGAAAAAGGGGAGGAATAAGAGAATGTCAAATTTCAAGTCACACAGAGAGAGAGAATAGAAAAAAAAAGACATGCATATCAGAGCAATTAGATGACTATATGTGCAAAACAAATACACAAGGAAAGCACCTTGGCACCTCCCACTTTGTTGGAAATTCATACTATATAATGAGTTACAAGTTAAGACTAAAGAATGGATTCTGAAATGTAAATTACAAAATACAAACTGACAATTGTAAAATTCACTTGGGATAAACCACTAAGTTGAGCATTGAGTACATTAAAATATTTTTACAATAATACCAGCAACAATGGATATGGCACCTAACAGAACCGAATGGCAAAACAGGATTCATGTAGCCGATCCCATATAGTTGGGACAAGGCTTAGATGATGAAATATTGCTTAAAGAATAAATAATTTCTTAGCCTAGACAATAACATTCTTCACATATCCATTCTAATAAGGATCCAGTAAAGGCATGAAACATTCCTTAATGAATTTTGGTATGCATAAAAGAACCAGTTTGTCGCTTACCATCTTCAGGCCTGGTTTGTTTGCAGTGCTTGAACTTGTTCTATAACTTAATTTTGAATCTCAAGGTTTACAGAACAACTTCACAACACATTATTTTGTCTATAACCTTAGTTTCTTAGTTTTGTTTAATGATTTTAAAAGGTGTTTCCATGCTTCTTTTATCATTTCATAAAACACCATTGTATATTTTTGCATATCTTACAATTTTCTACCATATGTCTATTAATTTTTACAATATTTTTTTTTATAAGTGAAAAATGCTTTAATTAATAAGAAACGGAGTCTATATTCACCCAAAGAGGAAGCACGAGATGTTACCTCCCCTTAGAGGTGAGAGCATAAAACAAACTTAACATAATACAATCATAGAGTGGCAGAAAATAACTCAACCCTTGAGACCCCTTCTTTTGCCAAAGAAACTGCCATGGCATTTACAATATTTCCATATGATAATTTCCAAGATTTCTGATATGCATCCTATATTTGGACAACCAACATTTCCATCGACACCCCGACATGAACATTTTAAACATTGGCAACAACATAACACTGCTTTAGCAATTATGTAAAAAATAGGTATTAGAAAATATGCCTAGATCTGCAGGATTGATAAGACTAGCTGAAGATCTGAAAAAAAGCACCGCCCCAATAGTAATGTCACTTTTTGTAATACCCCTTGTTTGATAGTTACTCAAGGAAAAGGTGTTCTGGAGTTTTATCCTTTTTGTTGTTTTTGGGAGATATGGAGGGGTGAGGGTTAAAGAATTTTCAATGGCAAGCAATATTACAAAAGTGAGGATATTATGTGGGACCACAGTGTTGATCCTAGGGATGCAATTCGAGTCAGGTTAGGTCAGCCCTAACCCAATCCGATTTGTTGAAGCCCCAACCCTAACCATAACGAGTTGGGTTCAGGTGATCTCGGGTTGGACTGACTTCTCTACTTCCTTTGGCCAAACGTGCTTAGTTCCTAGACTCTAAGGGTTCATGTTAATTTGATATTAGCATTATTATGTGTAAAAGAACAAAGTTATCATGTTTTCGAAAAGCATTTCCTTTAAACTTAAAATTATTTTCCTATAACAAAAATAAGGGTTCAGCCCTTATATTTTTTTAATGTTCTTTTCCTTCTTTTTCTTCTTCTCATTAATATGTTGATTTTCTATACTTCAGTGTTTTAAAAGGCGTGGGAGGCGTACACCTGGAGGCACGCCTCCAGGCGAGGTGCTCCCAAAATGCCCTAGGGCGTATGCCAGAAGCGTTGACACCTTTGAGGCGTATGCCTCAGGTGCAAGAGGCTTACGCCTCTCGCGCTTTTTTCATGAGGCATGCTAGAGGCGTACGCCTCATGCACATCTGATATGAAAAGACAGAAAAAAAGGAAAGAAAAAGAAAGAGAAGAAAAAAAAAAGAGAAAAGGAAAGGGAAGGGAAGGGAAGAAAAGGAAAGAAAAGATGAGGGGAAAGAAAGTGGTTTGCCCCTTGCCCTTTCGGCTAGGGGGCTTCGCTTCGACAAGACCCCCCCCCTTTGAACTAATGTTATGCATCTTTATTCTTCTTAATATAAAATATTTTTATTAAAAATAAAGAAAATGAGATCCCCCCTTCCTCTTCATCCTCCTAACCCCCCTCCTCTTAAGGAGGCTTACGCCTCTTGTGTTCGGGAGGCTTATGCCTCTTGCGTTCTGAACTACGCCTCACGCCTCTAGGTAGTGGAACGCCTCGCGTCATGCCTCCGCGTTTTAAAACATTGCTTTACTTTTCTTATGAAAATTATGAATAATTATTAAGGAAATATGGTTATGGTACCTAGGGAACTACCCTAAGATCTATGTTTTCTACATAAAAAAATCCATTGCCCAGGCGATGCCTAGGCACCCGCCTAGGTGACTAGACGCCCCCCTATCACCTAGCATCGACATGGCGCCTTGAAAACTATGCAATATACATGGATACAAAGTATAGATAGATAAATACGTATACAACATATACATTAATACATAAATACTTGCAATGAAAAAATGCATAGATATATACATTTATAAATGTATAGCTGCATGTGAAGACATGCATGAACAGTGAACACACATATGTATAAGTACTTACATGCATAAAATTCATATTTCTATAATATTTATAAGTGCAAATATTAAGTTAAATCGCATTCAGGTTGGTCATGGTCTCAACCCTAACCCAACCCAAAGTTAAGTTGAGTTCATACTTTTCAACCCTAACCCTAACCTGAACTTCAACCCAGCCCTAGTTGGTCCTGGTTATCCAGGGACTTGGGAGGGGTGGACTGATAGTGGACCTAACTATTGAGATTTTTTCACACAAAGAGGCCATTCTCAGTCCAAAATTCACTTCTCATGCTTGTTAGCCCAAGATTTCAACACACCACAAGTAATAGCCCCTGAACTAAGATATTACTTGTCAGCATTAAATCTCTCATCTTGGACTGGTCTTGGCCAAGTTTGAAGGGGTTGATAACAAGGTTTTAAAAGGCTCAAGGCATAGTTGAGGTGTAATAGCCCAAAAAGGTGAGGCATAAGCCTCAAGGCATTGCAAGTGTTAGGACCATATTATCCATTCTACTCCTCCCAAGACCCCAAATATCTGAGACCAACATTGGGTAATGGCCTTTTATAACAATGAGAATTTCATTAATTGTGGAGAAAGAATAATATTTATGTGTGGAAAGAGAACTGCATTGTTAGGCTAGATCTAGCTACCAAACCCCAAATTGTCCATACAAGTTTAAACCAATGTTTTAGAAAACAACCCAGAAATAGAACTGCTTTTCCCTCCAGGTGGCACCTCAGCGGTTTACCATCCAGATCAAACAGGTCATAAACCTGTGACATCATAATTTTTTTAATAAAATACACAAAAGTTGCATTTAAAAAAGAGTGGACATGTCCCTCGTATTATATATTCTATTTGATAGGAATATATAAAAGAACAAGTATACACAGACTACAAAGATGGATAACAGACCCCAGACCCCAAATAGCTGTAACCAACATTGGGCAATCACCTTTCCATTTACAAAGATGCCAGGCATCTCCAGTGTAGGAAAAAGGTTCTCAACATTATGTTCCCATACAACTATGGATCTTGATTCTTCAGACAGTGCACCACCACCTTAGAATCCCCTTTCTATTATAAGATTTGCAAATTGCAAGCTTTAGCCACATGGAATCCTTGCACAACAGCTGTTACTTCCACTAGTATGGCATCACCTTGAGCAATGGATCTTGAAAATGTTGCCAGTATGTTCCTGGGGGAGTCCCTAAAGGCTCCTCCAATGCCAGAAGGTCATGAATTACCTTTACTATTAGCCATCAAAGCTCACTTCAAAGTTCATCCTGTAACTTGCTGACCAGGTCAAACGATTTGGCAGTTCAACCAGCCAGGTCATTAGGTTGTTTAGTGTTTACCAAGTCAATTGTGTGCAACTAAACAAATCGGGGGGTAAATGGACCCAGGAGGATAGGTGACAGGTTGAGCAGACTGACCGGACGATTCAACCATGGATTAAAAATATTATCCCCAAATACATTTGTTCTCTGTAAACCCTAGCCTTGCTAGAGTATCAGCCACCCCATTTGGTGCTCTGGGGGTCCATTTCTGTTTCACTCCTATCTCCCTTGTTAGTTGGATAAATTATCTCAAAATGTGCCTATACAGCCAGGGTCTTGAGTACTATTTTTTCAGATATCCCACCATTTTTTATGGATATTCAACAATTTGACTGTTGTTCTACTATCACCTTCTACCTCCATGTTATGCATGTTCGGCCTTTAACACTAACAGATCTTTAGTCGTTGAAGACCAGCAAGCAATTCAGCTCATGTAGAGTCTCCCTTCGCTAAAGAGCATGAAAAGAGGACTACAAAGTAACCTGATCTATCCCTTAGAATACCTACTATGCACAATGGACCTGGTTTTCCAAGGCTACATCCATTAAAGTTGAGCTTAACTTCATTTGACATTGCCAAGACCCACTCTCTTGCCCAAATTATCCTTGATATAGCCTTGCTTCAAGAGACACCTAAAGTTCTCTTTAAAGGTTTTCTTTCTACACCTATACCTAATTGTAGATCATCTCTATTATCATTTCAAGAATTTCTCTTGAATTTTACTATTGAAAAAAGATATTTGCTGAGCTTTTGAGCTAATAGCCTAATTCTAATAAAAGAGAAAATATCCCCAAGCTAAGAGCATAAATGTTAAATTGACAGGCACACACAACCAGAAGAAAGTTGAAGAAACATACTACAAGCCTACAAATGAAAAAGAAAAAGCATATTCAATAAAAAAAATCAGATGCACCTGTTATTTGAAATGGAATTTATGTGATAGTCATGAGCATGAGCATATATTCTTCGACATTTAGCCACAAGGCTTGTCTCATGGCTTGCTACCTAAATACAAAAAATAAAAATGTGTGTTACTTCTGCACAGCAAATAAAATAATAGCAAATGTCCTAATGTTACTGAAATTAACCACAATTATTCCAGAAGATCAATAGGCTAGGCTGGATACAACTACCACAGGTAAATGTAATGACGGAATGCCTCCCGGTGAAAATGCAAAGTCATTGCTCAAATAATTGTACGATCTCTCTGGACATACTCCATTTGCAAGATATGGTTTCACACCAGCTGTTACACTTGAACTGGCAACATTACCATTTCCCACCCTCGAGGGGTCCACATTCATCTCACATATTTTCTTCACCTTCTTTTCTTGAACCTGCCAAAATTCAAACAGAAATACCACACAACAGCAAGCTTAAGAAGCCACTACCCATGAATCAGAAAACTCCAAGCAAGTGTAAACAGTAATAGTGTCGGAGAGAGTTCACTGCCTACAGAGGTAAAAAATGCAAATTTTCTTTTGAGAGAAGGTAAAAATGCAAATCTCAAGTAACCATTCTCCTAAGCCCATAGCTAACTTATGCACGCATCAAATGGGTGAATGTTGATCACATATGTAAAGTTGTGAACAATGGACAAGATAAAAAAAAAAAATTAATAATTACAACCATAAAATTAAGTAAAAATAAATTCCTATTGAGCGAAACCATGAGGACAATTCTGAGAAAGGCAAGCCCAAAATAAGCAGCAAAAGTAGTACAAATGATAATCTCTTGCAACAGGTTTTTCTCTTTTTCTTTCTCTTTTCCCCAGGGGAAGTGATCTGGACACATCCCATCTTTTAAAAAGGGGCATACACCTAATTAGTCAAAAAATACATCTTCTATTCTTCTAAATTACAAAAACATCCCCTGTGATATGATTTTTCTCATTATAAATAGGAGTTCCAGTGTCTTTCCACTAGGAGCTTGCCTGATCTATCAAAAATTGGATATGACTAAATCAATCCCCTTTCTCTCTGCAGTTGAGGATCTATGCCTACAATACTGTAATCTATAGAGACCTCTTAGTATCCAGATAACCCAAGTTTTCCAAGAATTTCCTCTTAAACCAAAGCAACAGTACACAACAAAAGATGAAGACCTGAACACCATAAGCCAGAGCAAGAATTCAGGAAGCAGCCCTCGGAGACTGACTCATTCTTTGAATAAGATTATAGAATCCATTGCTTTCCGTTTAGCTAGTACTATGTGGGTTCACTGTATTGATTGTTAATTGACTAAATCTAAGCAGGTCTACCTATTTCCTTCAAATGGCATTGAAATCTCTGCTGATCAATCAAGGCGAAGAAATCACAATGGAGAAAGAGGAGCTTCATTCGTGCTAACAGATGGAGAATGAAATGTAGAGTTGAGGCCAAGACCTTAATTCTAGAGGAGGTTAAAACCAGAAGAGGGATTCTATTGAAAATCAATGAACTCTCAAAGGCAACAGTAGTGTTGAATGGGAAAGCTACATTGTGGTTCAAAGGTTTTCTAGAGGGAGCCATCCACTCACAAAGGCAGGTAAACTGGAGTGTCTCTTACAGGGAAGGAAATACCACTTACTGGGTGGAGATAATGGAGAATATATGTGGAGCTTATGTGATGCTGGCTAAGTTCTTCAATCCTGGAAAGAAAAGTCTGGTCTGCTTCCCAGAAGGTAAACAAAGTGTGGGTTGGAAACAGGTAGCAGAGGCCTTACAGCACTTCCTGTCTTTAACAGGTGAACTGAGGAACACAAATGAAAGGCCCGGGGTAAGTGAAGAAGTATTAGAAAAGAACTTGGAAGAGAACAAGGCAGAGGCTTGCAACTCAGATTCTGCTACAGGGGTACAGAAGGAGTTGAGTGGTACAGACCTTGTTGACTCAGTGTGGTTCTCATCTGCAGAGCATAAACTGTCTCTGGAGGGTATCAAGGAAAATTGAGAAAGGAGATATGTAGTAATAATGAAGAAAGAGACCCCTGACTGGAAGAGAATCAAAGAAGTGTAATTCTAGACCCAATGTTTTTTTGCTCAAAAAAAAAAGTGATGAAGAAGTTGAACATAAACATATGGCTTTCATAAGGCCTTTCGAAAGTGGTAAGGCATTGCCGGATGTGGAAATAAGGAACTGGAAACTTCAACAGTGGAGACCAGTGAGGGAGTACTGTTGATAAACCGATGGTGCCCCCTGTCCAATGACGTATTGAATACTGATGGGGCTTTTACTCTCAAAATCTACGGCATACCAATACATTTGTTGCAGGAAGTCACTTTTCACAGAATTGCTTCAACACTGTGATCACTGAGAGGCCTTTGATACAAAGGATTTGAGTGCTGACAAGATCAGGGTCATCGGAGTTAAACCAAAAATGGTGCCAAGGACTCTGAATCTACAAACTGAGGGCCTCTGCTACAAAGTTTGGTTTGTTTTGGGAGCCAATGCATCACTCTGGGGTGGGTGCAGGAAGGAAGAAGAAGATGGTGATGTGGAAGGTTGGGAGACATGCGGCGGTGAAGTGAAAAGTGATAGGCGCAAAGTGGAAGAGGGTGGATCAAAGGGAAAGCAAAACAGGTCCCTCAAAGAATAAACGCAACCGTTTCTTGCAAAGAAAGGAGACCAGCAGGCTTCTCTAATTAATTTGAAGGGGATTTCTTATACCCAAGATTGGACGGCCAAGAGGACCTATGCACAGATTATGTCATAAAGGGGTGTCGTGTCCAACAAGTCCTTTGGACAGGCAGTGCTTTCAAATTTTGAAGGTGTTGAGAGGCGAGTGGACAAACAGTATGAGGTGCAGGTTGAGCCATCCCAACTCGGTTTCATAAATGGGGTGGGCTCAAGTGTTTTTTTGTAAGGCTCATGAATCTTTAATGAGTCACGTGCCTTATTCCTTAGGGTTGACAGGGAATGAGAATTAGGTCTTTTGCCACCCCCCTCAACTGTTTCTTACACCCAAGAGATGATAGGTGCGGCAACAAAGCTTGCCCAGAGGACTGTTGACATTCCCCGGGGTTCAGTTGGATAGACAGCAAGTAATCTAGCTTGGAGGCTGATTGCAGTTGAGAATTCCACCCCCCTGAAAGACCAAATTCGAAGTTTAACAGAGAAGATAATGAGTATTCAGACACAGATAGCAACCGGGAAGACAGCTTGAAGGGGATGAAGAAGTTAACCAACCTTTGAGTAAAGAAAGCCTAGACTCGACTAAGGCTTGTAGGATGATGGGGGATGACAATTTGGGTACGGAATATTGCTTGCAGAAGATTCTTCTAACAGCACGATTCTGCTGAAAGAGTTTGGGTCTTGTGAGGCTCCTGCTGATGGCAATTTGAGTACGGAAATCTTTTATGAATCCAGTTTGCACATAAATCCTTTATTTCCAGTTCCTATCATCTCTTGAACATATCTATTGGCTATAACAGTTTGATCAGTTATCCATTAATCTTTAACAAAAGCTCCTTTGATGTGGCAAATTTAAGAGATCCATGATAATTCTTACTAGGCGTGGCATTTCTTTTAACATGCTAATGATTCTTCAAGCTAAACCAGAAGTGATGCTAGCTTTTACTAGGCATGGCACTTTAGTTCTCTAAATGATTAGAAAATATTTCTTTTTACTCTATATAATTTGGTATTTGTTTATGGCTTCCTTTCTTCAATCTCCAGAGGTTAACATGTGAATTCTAAGATATGGCTTCCTTTCTTCAATGTCAAGGCATCTAGCAAATAGAATGCACCAAGAAATGTTTTCAAAGAAGAAACTTCCCCAGAAGATACAAGATTTATCAATTTACCAACCAAGACAACAAATAAAATCATTATAATTCTACGCATCCCAGTACAAAGGATATCTTCTAATAAAAACAAAGTTCAAAACGATGTTTCATGCCAGAGATATGGCCCTACATGGTAATATGATAGCTGAAAAGATTATACAATAACTATGACCAGGGAAATAGTGCACTTTCATTTTCACCCTCATGGTAGGAAGAAAAATCCAGAAATTTTGCCACACTACCTTCCAAAACTTAATTGTTTTGTCATTAGTGGAGAGAAGAAACAGGGCACTGTTGGCTGTCTGGCACCATCTGATCTTGTTGATTTTCTCCTCTATTTCCAAGCTCTTAAGATAGTCAAACTGAATTTACATGCACAATTGATTAACACCCCAAAGTACACAAAAAAAAAAGAATGGATCTATACAAGTTTCAATCAGAGATGACCCAAGATATACCTCAGGTTCATGGCTTTGAAATTCTGTTTTGTACCGAAACTCTGGATGCCTACTAATTGGATTATCCATCCTCTCAAGATCCCTTCGAAATCCATGCTGTACAACATCATAACAGAACATATATGATCACTTTACAAGAAACAATAAGTACCAAAACAAGTAAATTGATTGGTAATCATATGTCACATAAAAACTATCAAAAAATTCACACATCACATAATTAAAAAGAAATGTGCAAATGGCCAAGAAACTTACATGCCGTGTGTCAGTCCGTTCAAATAAGACAACTCGGCCCCCTCGATCACCAGTAGCAAGATGATCTCCTGTTTTATCAAACTCAATTGCTGAAATAATATCAACTGCAAAAGGATAGTGGGATAATCAGCATATCAGCCAGTGAAAAAGAAAAATAGGAAGCCAATTGTTAATCCCTACCAATATATTGGAGAGAGAACAAAAATTTACTCGGATGAGCATATACTCAATCTCAAACATTAGTGTCTGTACCAAGTTTAAGAATGATACAACCCATAAAATACAGTTAGATGTGTGAAACACATTAAAAGGTGAGTACGAAACCACCACAAAGCAAGAAAAAAGGTCATGTCTGCCTCTTTTTTAATACAATGAAACACTAGAACCAAACTTGGCAGCACCTTTTTTTATCTTTTCAAAGCCTACAATTTACCCCAGTAAGGTTTTTCCCCTACCACCTGCAGGATTGTATCAAAAGGATCACCATCCCCAGTTAACTGGGAGAAAAAAATAAAGGGACAGAGCTTATTGACACCTCAATGGGCAGTTAATACAGGGTGACGACTATATAAACTAGGTGCACTCTATCATAGAAGGATTTGCACCTCCTGATGGTTCTCATGGAATAGAGTGCACCTACTTTGCAACAAGAACATCGTGAATTGACTTGGACACCATGGAAATTTTCAAGGACCATACAAATAAGGAAAGCTAAGTCTCTGATATGGTGCATGTATGTTTCATTTAACAGGGTTATAGATTAGATATTTAGATGCACTCTATTATAGAAGGATTTGTACCTCCTGATGATTCTGTGGAATAGAGTGCACCTACTTTGCAACAAGAACATAATGTATTGACTTGGACACTATGGAAATTTTCAAGCACCATACTAAATAAGGAAAGCTAAGTCTTTGGCTTGGTGCTTGTATGCTTCATTTAGCAGGGTGCTAAGATCTGCAAATACTCTATCTTGCTAAGGAACAAATAGGCACGAATTTTGCAGGGTATCATGACCTCCAGGATAGTGTAAATGTCAAAGGTAAGAATCATATGAAGTTACAAACTTGGGATGAGAAACAAAGGGGTTCACTCTGGTTTTCTATTGCTCTGTTTTTCGGTTTCTGTTTCTGGTCTTCTGGGAAGGAAAGACCCTTTTGCCTCTATTGCATATCTGCTATTCTCTACTCAAACACCAAAAAAGGCCATCACGTGAGAGATCTTCTCAACTCATTAAATAAAAAACTAAAAACAGAGACAACCTCCTTAACTATAGGCAGTAAAGAGGTAACCCAATTTCATGAGCTTCATTCTCTTTAGTGCCATGTGCAAATACATCTAATAATTTCACAACCAATGGAAATCTGACTAACATTTTCCCCTTTTTTTGAGAAAAAGATAAGGTAATATTGTATTATCAGTATACCACAAAATAAGATTACAGTGTGAAACATATATGCAACCATGGTTCAAAGTATCGATACGCCTCTGTGTATCGGCAGAGGCGTATCGGTACTTAGATACACGCGGAAATACTAGTTTTTTTTTCAAAATTTGGCTTTTGGGAAGATATTTAAAATATTTTTTATTGAAAAAGAGTGGGGTCCCAAAACACCTGTAAACAGGTGTATCAGACCCCCAAAGATACGATAAGATATGCCTGATACAGGGCGTATCATATCGAAATTTTGAACCTTGTATGCAACATGTACAACCAGAAACTATACATCAAGTCTCAATGGAAATCTTCAACAAAAACTTCCAAGGACTAAAAACTAAACTTGAAAGCCAGGAATTTCTGATGATTTATCTGGCTAGCCAAAAAAGATTACTGTGATAAAAACTAAACTTGAAAACTAAAAAATACTCATTATGAGGGATTCTGCTGAAAAGGTCTTTAGCCGATACTGATAAAAATTTAAAAAAAAAAAAAAGTCTTTAGCCAAGAACCAGGAATGTATAGATGTCATTGCCTGCTGAATCAAACTATCTTTATCTCCACTCTTTCCTTCAAAGACCCTCCTATTCCTTTCCTTCCACACCACCCAACAAACTGAATGGGGTATTGTACTCCACAATAACTTCCCTTTCTGATGTAACCCCTGCAATTTCCAGGACTGCAATAGCTCCCACAAACTCCTCGGATGACGCCAGCTAACATTCAACAGCCCACAAAAATGATTAAATAAGCAACTGACTAATTTGCAATGTACAAGAAGATGACCAATCAATTCTTCTTTCTGTCCACACATAACACAAACCAGAGAATCCAACAACATTCCCCTCCTCTCTAACTGAATCTTCAAAAGGCATTTATCTTTTACAGCTGACCACATAAAGAAATTGATCTTAGATGGGGTATGTGAAATCCATACCTCCTTCCAAGGGAAACCCTGAGAAAGGGAAGGAGCTGAGTTATCATAAAATGATTTGACAGAGAATTTACCATCTCTGGACCATCTCAACACTCTTTCATCTTGCCTGTCCAGGGAAGGCTGATGGCTAAGGAGTCGTTTTAGTAGACCCGTCAGATCTGAAATCTCCCAATCATTAAGTTGTCACCTGAAAGTTGGGCTCCAAACTACCTCCCTTCCAATATAGTCAACCTGCTTAAAAACCAAAGCATCTCTATTCTCTGCTAACATTTTTCACAAAAATATCTAAGACAATTTGTCAGTTTGCTAAGCTAGTATGTATGACAAAGTTGTTGCATACATCTGGAATTAAAACCCACTTTTGATTTGTAACCAGCTTTGCATGGACTCTCCTAACTGGATGTAAGTGTCCATTTTGGACACACTTTGGACTATAATACTCCACTGATTCTTGAAGGAAACCGCTATGTGACCTTTTTCTTTTTATCCTTGCTTTTTTAACATAACACAATGATTTTTTTTCTAGAAAATGTTATTAAATAAGAAAGAACATCTTTTGGACCTTTTTCTATATGTTTATTTTTTTAGAAGAAACTGTATTCATTCGAAAAGAGACAAAATGTACACGAAGGGATGTACATGAAACAAAACAACCCGCTCCAGCACAAAAATTAAGTGGGTAAAGTATTACTGCTATACAAGAAAATCACTATGAACACCCACTTTTGCTAACTCATCCACCAATCTGTTAAGCTCCCTAGGAATCCATCTTAGGGTATACTGAATGGACACTAGGATGTCTCTGTCTTCATCCAAAAGATGGCTAGCCTCCAGGGGCCACTCCTCCACTCCCTCAGCAAAGTATTAACTATTTTACTTTAATAGTTTAGACTTTTTATAGATGTGTCCGCTAGTTCTTGTTTCATTACACCACAACACACATCAAATTCTGATGCCCATGTCCATATCAATGTAACACTGCTTCTAATTGAACCGATATGCTTGCCTCACAACCACATGGGGTCAGGTACATGAATCCTGTTTTTCCATTTCGTTCTAATTAATGTCATATGCTTGCTTAACAATAAGGTTCTCAAAATTTACCTTCACCAAATAAATCACTTTCTTTCTTTCCTATAAAAAGGATGAGAAGGCCTCGCTCTAAAAATAATGGAAAGACAAGATGATCAACACATTAAAAAGGCATCCAGGTAGGGTTTATCATGAAGCTATAGTTAAATAGTTTCACTTTCATATAATACCATAACTAATCATAGGGGAGAAAATGATTTGTATTATAAGTGGTGGATTCTTCCACAAGATGGACTGGCAGTGTTATGATCAAAGGAAAAGATTTTGGATAACCTAGTCTTCTTCAGCTCTCTCCCTATCTTCATCATTTTCAATGCAATTATCCTTTATGTGCCAAAAACACAAGGCATATTTAAATTCTGAATTCCAACTTAACATGCTTCTTTCACTAAGGGTATAGATCTCCTCCAACTGACCATGTTAAGTTGTAAACAGATCAAATTCTCATCACTCAACTCCTCAAGCACAGCCTGTGACTACTCTGAACTTTATCCATGCTGCATTCAATTAATGAATTGAATAAATTGGCATCCTGGTGAAGCTATCGAAATAAAGGAACTAGGGCTCTCAATGTCATCTCCAAGATCTAATACTAACCCTATATTTGTTCTGCCAATATGATGAGGAAAACAAGGATATTATTAGCAAGCTTGTCCTGTGAACCACCAATGACCGAGTCCACTTGATATATAACAAATTAAGTTAGCCTAGGACTCTACCAAGTAGATACCTAATGAACAATATATTATCAGCACCCAGTCATATGTGTAGAGTTATCACTGTAAGCCAAGGCACATACAATCACCCTTCAGGATAGATAAGGCATCAATATTTTCATGTCTTGACTCATGAGTAGGGTAGTGGGTAGCATTGGTTCTTGGGAAGCTTTCACAGGTAGAAGAACACATCTGTCTGGGAATTTTTTATGGGTCCGACTCTGTTTAGGGGCTGAAGGGGTGAGGAACTATGCGCCATTATTTGTTGAATGTAATGCCCTTGGTGTTTCTAGAGGGTCCTATATAGCCCCCCACCATATGCCAAAGGCTTCCAATAAGGACTCGATGTACAACTTTGGTTCCAACTTGGTGTATTTTTTATGAATTTAATAATATCTTACTTTGGCAAGTGTGGCATTAATAAAATCTTGGGGGTCTTATACAACATTTGAACAATGAATACCTTTAGTGAACATTAAAAATGAGGATCATAAAATTAAACTTCAAAATCATGCAATATATACCCAGTCCATGTGCTGTAGTTCAGGTTGTTCACTTCATTCAATAAACCAAGTCAGTCCTTACATGTCTCAGTTGAGAATGAAGTTTAGGGCACATAAACCCATAACCAAGACAAGCTTAAAAAAAATCAAAGTATCATCTATGAAATGAAAACTGAAAAACTATGACCTAGACATTCAGTGAGTGCAACCAAAGTAAAGTACAACTAATGCAATAAAATACTAAATAACTGAGAATCCAGAAAGTAACATGAAATCCATGTATTCTTATGGTTTCGACAAGAAAAGGCCTAGGTCTGACACCAAAAAGAAGTGTCATAAATATAAGATATGCTCGTTGGAAATAAAAACAGAAATTTTGACTCACTAAGATCAGACTATACCAGGTCTAATGAGTTTAGCTGCATGCTGTGGATCATGCTATTCAAAGAAGAAATTATTTGGCATCATTAAATGATCCCCTGTGCATGTTAAATGCACTCGGATCAACTCATACATCAATTTACACATAAAGGATGTTCTCGACGGCAGAAAAACAAAACTCCCCCTAAAATCCAACTGCAAACCCCTATCTAGCTCAATTGCACACTGTTATCTTTTTTCCCGTTTAATAAACTAGTTCACTCGTGATATTTACATTCTTCGTGCACGTTACAGGCACTATGGATCAATTCATTAGCCACTTCCGCAGCAACCATTCGTCCACAAGCAGCATTCCCCACCAACTCCACAACAAAATTTCATATTTTTAGCCAAAAATCCCATTAAAATCCATTATAACAAAAGCATATAAGACGAACCAAGCAATCGAAGATCCAAAGATAGATCGACACACGCCAACCAAACCCTAATCCAAACTAGGGGCACCAAATACCAGAAAACACCCTATAGTACTACGGATCCAGAAAGGGCCATACCTTCCTGAACTTCTTCCCCAGCCGTCCGTTCCCCAAAAACCTGAGAGAATTTCCACTCAAGCGACTGCGGCGGCCCCGCCGGAGAAGCAACTTCTGCGTCTCCCCCGCCGTTCATTCTCCAAAGGAATATTCGGCCAAATCGACCAAAGTATCCACTCCAAACGACCTCACGGCATCAACGATCGCTCTTTTACTTGACCCTCTGATACGATCCTAGCTCCAAGTCCGTCCAGAAATCCATAAGAATGCAGGTTTCCCGTTTCCGATTCTTGCATCTCCCTCACGGATAGAATAAATGGAGGGTTTGAATAACGACTGGTGTTCTCTCTCTCTCTCTCTCCCTCTTTCTCCCTTCTTTTCCCTTTTTTTTTTCTTTTTTGTTATCAGATTAAAAAAAAAAATGAGATTGGAAGAAAATAACGGAGCAGGAAATGCGTCCCTTCTACCTTTCGGAATGAAGCACTCTTCCCTTACTAATAACTCTCTTTGGTATATGAAGGGAACGTAATGTTAGTTTATTGAAATCTCCAAAATACCCCTGTTCTTTTTTTCTCTTTATAAGATTGCTACCGAAACTCGATTAGCATTACCCGATTGATCAAGGATATACAAACACTTGTGAGCAGAGAACTCGAATGGCGCTAACTCGACCAATTAGAAAATAAACTACAAAGGGAGAGTCGAGGGGCGCCAGTTTCGTGGGTATTTTCGTCAATTCGTGCACCGTAGTCAATAACGATGACTGGTATAAAGAGTACCGATGTGACTGTAATTCTGTGATTATTCTGTGTGGGTTTTGCGATGATGAGTACGTTCAGTGCTCACAGCTTAGACAGTGCACACGTGGAAAGATACGGAATTGGAATCATTTTAGGGGAAGCGATTGAAACGAAATATTCCGATCTAACGAGTTTTAGCACGGAGTCTATAATATCACCTCCTCCTTAGGATGAGAAAGGACGTGGATTGATTTGAGCGCACGGACAATGATGTGAGAGCAGCTTTGTTATTTGCACTACCTACAAAGTAGGAGATAGCACATATCCTATGTCTGCTTTCATAGAAAAAAAGGCAGAAAATTCTTAAGGAAATTATATAAAACTTTTGTCGAACCAAACACAGCCTCGAGATTTCCTTGGTTTACAGGTTGATATTATTGAGAGAAATAAACATGTTTTCTTTTGGATTTATCGGGTGCTAGTAACATAGGAAAAGGAAGGGCTACACAAAATGGGAGTAGGCATTCCCAACTATGAGAATATCACATATAATTCAGCCAAAATAACTTGCATCAAAACTACCTAGCTTTGATTGATATGCTAATTTAGCTAATCAATCCATTGCTTGATTCCCTTTCAGATGTGATTGTACTTGAGCTCCCTTATCCCTTATTTCTGTAGAATAAGTAATAAAAATCATGGTTTAAAAAAAAACGATTTAGAAATGAAATCATTCTGACCATTGATTTTTGGGTCAATGGTTCAATTATTCATGGATGGCTTGTTCTCACAAAAAAATTAAAAAAATAAAAAAAAACGGCAAAAAATTGTTGAGTGGGTTGACAGTTCGATTACCTGAGTTAACGGGTCATTAATCGATTCAACGATTTTTTGCCAATGCCTAAGTTTGGGCAAAATGAAATCAGTTGCCTGAATAATTCCCGAGCCGAATGGCCTAATCGTTCAAATCATTGGCGGTTCGAAAGCCATGATAAAAATAGCGCACATGAATCCCATTTCCTCTCTTGTTATGTTTATGGTAACTTCTTACGTAGTTAATTATGGTTCAAGAGGATCTAAGACTACCTTGTTGCTTTTTAACATTGCTCAGATTTGCTACCCAGTAGAATGCTATACTTGTGTGTTGTTATTCACAGGGAAATGTTTACAACATGCATGTGTGGGTAATAGAGTATGGGGCTCCATGCCACTTGTGTCCAAGTCTTGACTGAGATGGAGGTTGGCACTATTCGATGCATTGATCGCTCCAGCAAGAAGAGGTTGGACCTATGGGCGGATTTGTGGGTTGTGGCTCAACAATGGACCTTGACCTTGTGAGGCAAGAAGAGCTTGGACAATGGAAGAGTTGAAGCTAAGAGAGAAGTGTAGAAATAAATGAATTGATGGTGAGATGCTCACTAGAAATATCTATCATTTGAACCAAGGAAGAACCAACTCCAATATATCTAATGGGATGATGTCATTCAACCAGATGTAGGTTTGGCACTTTAAGATGGCCAAGTGTTGTTTGGGAATAATGCTCTACTTCAAAATCAAAGTTGTAATACCTAATTGGAGATCATTTGAGAAAGGAACTGGACTGTTTCAACCTATGACACTACACATTTTTATTTTTTTATGTGAATTTATTTTCGGCTGTCATGAGAAGTTTTGTCCAAAAAGCAAAGACAATTAATCTGTATGTCTTAACTAGGTTCAAAGTATTTTAAGGGTCACCAACACATGAAATACTTTAAAACAAGGTTAGTTGATATTTTTAGGTTCAGTTTGGAATGAGTACAAATACAAATATGTAGAGTGCAAAACCTAGTATTCTTTATGTATTTGCATTATATGTATTTGTATTTGTACTTTTTCTAAAATAAGACAAATGATAATAATGATGTTAATTAATGTATTTAAATGCAAATTTGAGTATCGTGCCTACTTCTTTTGTATTGATTACTTGCCTTTGGCCCATTGGGCCATAAATTTTTCTTGGCATAGTATAACACTTTTCTAGCAACATTAATAACTATTCTCAAAGGTGGTGAGAGCTGATAGCAGGGCTAGAAACTGCATCTCATATCCCTACCTAGTTTTAGAGGGGATATATCAGGATATGAATCATACTATACATGTATATGATAGGATATTTGAGGGGTTGTTGCTTAGAGCAATGGTAAGATATCTGGCTGTTAAGCTTTAAGAATGTAGGTTTGAATTAGGGCCCATTTGCTTTTTGGTAAGTTACTTATCCAAGTAAATGCACTTACCCAGGTAAGTGTTTCATGGAAAACATTTACCCATGTTCTTTTATTTTTTAAGTAAATAAAAATGATTGACAATTTTAGCCATAAAAGTTCCACTATCAAAAGGGGCATTTTTGTCCCATCCAAATGTTGGCAATTTTCCAAAGATGAAAAAATTAATTTGCCCACCTAGGAGAAGGGTATCACTTATCCGGATAAATGGTACCTAGGAAAATAAACCCTCCTTGGTTCCCACATAAATCAGAAAAAAGAACATGGGTTTTTTGATCAATTTCCCTCCTCTAAAAATCCCAAAAACTAACACCCCCTAGACCTATTCATGGGTTGAGCTTTGTCTATGTGTCAATAAAAAAACATTCAGGCTCAAGCCTGACCATCGGGCCTAGGTCTTGAGCCCAAGACCGGCCCTCATATAAAGCCTGAAGCTCAGGCCTAAGTTTGACCAGAAATTTAAAAACATATTTTTTTATTCAATAAAATAGTGTTTTATTTATATTAAAAGTCCTCAAAACTCAAAAGTAATAAAAAAAATCTCACTATTACTTGAAAAAAGAGAAGGTTAACAAAAAAATATTGTATATATATTTGTTATTATATAAAATATATATTATCAAGTCGAGCTCAGGGTTGGGCTTAGTCCAGGCTTTTTTTGAGAAAGCTCGACCCCAACCCAAAAAAAGTATGGTCAAATGCTTTAAGCCTGAGCCTAAGCCCGCAAGCCTAAAATCATGTCCAAGCCTGAATTAAAATGGGCCGACAGGCTACCCAACCCATGAATAGATCTAATTTGAATATGAGAGTAATCATTCATGCAAAATAGGGGAGGGGGGCAATATCCTATGCTGTTGAGAGAATTTCTGGGAATGCCATATTACCATAAGAATGGGTAAATTAGTAATTATATATTAATTTATTTTTACTAAAAACCAAAGCATGGGCGTGAATGAGTGAACTGCCCAAAATGTGCCCAGCCCAGAAACTGCCTCAAAAGCCTATGCTGGTGGGCCCCAACAGCCAAAGTTAACCCGGGGTTAGGTCCATATCCACTCCACCCATTTTGAGACCCAAATGCTAGCTGGGACCCGCATTAGGTATGTGTTATTTTTCCCCTTGTATCTGTTTTATGCATGTAATTTATTTATGTGGTAGCTTCTTGAAGGCTTGATTTTTTTTTTTTTTTGTAATCAGATAAAGCTTTTGTTGAAACTAATAAACAAGAACACGAGATAAGAGGAGTCACTACCTGACTCCCTCATCGCACGCATAGCTAAAAGGTTAGCCAATGAGTTACGTTGTCTTGGAACATGGATAAAACGGTAAGCCTCCAATGGAGATATTAGACTTTTAATGTCCTCCCAGATTACACTCAGAGGGGAGAAACATGTCAAATTAGGGGATTCAATAGAAGTCTTCAACTCCTTTATCACCTCCAATGAGTCTGATTCAAACAATGCATTTACCTGGCCAAAACAGGAAGCCTCTAAGCACCCCAGCCGAAGTGCAACGCTTTTGCCATCTTCACTGATGCACAGCTACATTTCAAAACTCTTCCCATCAAGATAAAGCCAATTGAGTCTCTTATAATGCAGGCAGTCGCAACAAAGTTACTCCTGTGAGAGCCAAAGGAGGCAGGGAGGTGTGAGTACGATGGTCAGGCTAGGAATCCACATAGCCACTTTTAATTCTAAAATGAAGTTTAGACTTGTGGTAATTACTTGCTCTCGGGAGGTGACTGAACCATTAGAAACCAAACCATTCCCAAGGGTTACTCATTCCATGACCTGGAGCTAGCAAATCAGTGAACCAATCAGCAAATGAAGTATGTGAGATTTCCCCTATTCTTAATGCTAGATCACTAACCAGCCAGATGCCCCGAGCAAAATTGCATTTAAGCAGGGTCAGGATGTAGTAGGCATGTTAGGTAAGCACAATCAGTGAGCACGTAATAGCTGTGTGACACATGTCCCTGCTAATGTGCTTTTCATCCAAACATTTTTGTTCCATTAGATAAAAATTATTCGTTATTTTATTATCTTTGTCAAAATAATTAAAAATAAATACAATGAAAAAGGAAAACATAAATGAGTCCCAATTCCCAATACATTTAGGTTTTACTTTTTCATTATTTTTATTTTTAATTATTTTGACAAAGATAATAAAATAATGGATAATTTCTGTCTAACAGAACAAAAATGTTTGGATGAAAGACACATTAGTTGGGACATGTGTCACATAGCTATTACGTGTTCACTCATTGTGCTTACCTAACGTGTCTACTACATCCGGACCCATTTAAGCAAGGCATGAGTTATTGATTCTTCATCCTTTCCACATCTCCAACATAACTACCAGCACATTTGAGATATAGCCCACCAGAGAAAATTCTTGAGCTTCGGTGGAGTGGGAATAGCCCAAACCGTTTTCTAGGTTGGGGTCGGAATGTAAGGGTGATTACTATGCCTATAGGAAGATTC